GTGAACGTGTCAGTGTGCACAATTTACCTTGAACCTAAAAATTCACTTTAATTCTTCTCCATGTGCTTATGTTGGATTTGTTTTTTATTTAATGGAGACGAGATCGCCCTCGCGTTTCTTGATAAATATGATCGACTCCGAAATTAAATAATTTATCACTATTATTCTTTCTTTATTTTATTTCCTTAGTTGTTTAATTATTAAAGGTAATTAAAAAAATATCTTGCAGCTTGTTTAGGCAAGAAAAAAATAGAACAAGTAAAACTATATATTATCTGTCGAAAGAACAAACGACGATGGTTGATTTGATAATTTTATCTGATATATTGAAAGTTCTTCACGAGAGAGTATCTCGTATTTCTCGTTCTTACTCACGTTCTACATCAGTATTGTACTGATAATCCATTGGGATGCACTAATTTCTTATGGAATAAAGACATTCTAAGAATTTTACATCAGTATTGTAACCGATTATCTATTGGGATGCTCTATTTATTTTTTTTTTTCCAAAACGATAGATAATATAATAAATCAAAATGCACAAATGTGCGAATACACAGCAGCCAACGGCTGACTACACAGCAGCCAACAGCCAAAAAAGTAGGAGGACATGTCAGAAGACCGCCTAGAATCCCGACTAGCAACACTAGAATAAAAATACTTGCAACTAACTAACCAACTACACGAAACACCTAACACCAACAAAAACTAAAATAACTAAAAAGCTCCCAACAAGAGAACGCCCGAGTGTAGGATCCCAACAGGATAATAAGTTTTACACCGGTCTCACTAAGATCAAATGGTTCGAACCAAAAAAAAAAGACCAAATAAGAATACAAACACATACTCAAAACACAAACTTACGACAAAACAAAACAATAAAAACACTAACTAAGCAAAAAGCCTTTCCACAGTAGAACAACCAGCCCTAACCAGCAGAGAACAGTTGAAGTCAAAGAATAATCTAAGTCTAGGAGATGGCTTCCGAAACAGCCACAAGGCCTATACAAAAAGACGATCCCACACACAAACTAAGCTCTGAAATGACCCGCCTCAACCGGAGGAACAACCGAACCCACACCCACTCTAGCAACTCCCAAGCCCGCCTAACACTACTAACTGAGCGAAGGAGCACCAGACCCCACCGTCTAACACCACTAGTCGGAATAGGGGGGTGGCCCTAGCCCTCAACTCCGACACCGTCAGAGCTCCGCCCCGCCTCTGGATCCAAAAACCAACCTATACCACCGCAGTCCACCGACGCCAGGACAAGAAGAACCCGAACGGAGGGCTGCCGGAAAAACGGAACCGCCCGAGGGGCCCTCAGTTTGCTCTCAGAATCAGGAAAGTGACCGAATTGGAGGAGAAGTCACCTTCGATGAACGGAGGGCTGCCGGAAAAACGGAACCGCCCGAGGGGCCCTCAGTTTGCTCTCAGAATCAGGAAAGTGACCGAATTGGAGGAGAAGTCACCTTCGATCGAGACCAGCAGGTGGACGACACGGCCAATAGCAACCCGATCGATGACCAGCGAGCTCACCGCCTCCAACCTCCGCGACACCATCGAACAAAGCCAGAGCAATCCGCTTAACACCTGTACTCCGCAACAGCACCTCTGGAACAGAAGAGGAGAGGCGGTGGTCGAGCATGACCGCCGGTCGGCACTGCACTGCCGCCGAGGAAGGCGACTCAAATTTGGCGAGAAGTGGCTAGGTTTGCGGGTGCGATTTGGACAGGAGCAGAAAGGGATGCTCTAATTGCTTATGGAATAAAGACATTCTAAGAATTGCGCTGTTCAAAAGATATGCTAAACCTGGAAATAAGATGAATGAAAATGAGTGCACATTGTTTCGTTGTCATTTCGTGTTTCATTCAATTGAATAATCGACACATGTACGAATATGACATTACAGTCGTAAAATGAAAATAAAATATAAAATGGAAAAAATATTAAAATCTTATTCCCCCATAAGGTTAATTCCATAGTCATAAACAGGACAGTACCAAAAATAAATCTCTCTCTATAAAGATATCATCAACTAAAAAAAAAAAAAAGAGCATGTAAAGATTTGTATTTTCATGGGGCTCAAGCAAATTAATGGGTGATTGATAATATTCTCTCTGCAGAAATAAATTAAATAAAATTAAACACTATATATAGACTTGCACAAACAATATCACAAACCGGGACCTGCAAAACCCAGATAAATCGAAAAGCTACTATTTGACTTCTCCAAGCTCGACGTCCTTAAGAGGGATCGTCTCCATTCCCTCCTTGAGCAACCTAAATTCCTCCTCCGTTAAACTGTTTTTTACGTGAGACGTTAATTTGTTGCCCTGTTGCTTTTCGACTTCCACGGCCCAACTGTAAATCACCATGCCAATAACCGCAACAATCATTCCCAATATGTTTTTAAAAGTCAACTCCGAGTCGAACAGCAGCCAACCCAAAGTCAAAACGCATACGGTCTTCATGTGACCCAATACTTGAAAGGACACAGCCGAAAAACGCCCGATGCAGAGATATTGGCTCACGTTACAGAAAACGGCGAGAGAACATGAGAGGAGTATAAATAACTGCATTATATAATAATTGTCACCTCAGGTTAGGGGAATGTGAAAAAAAGTTGTTCGAGATTTGCAGATAAATCGTGTGAATGAATTTTCTGTAAAACTTACGATGGCTCCACCACTAAAATTGAAGTCGAAAATCAATTTTCCGGAAAGATAGTAGTCGATAATGGGGCCCGTCATGAGGAGAGAGAAAGCTTGGATGGGAGCAGTTTTGCTCAACAGTTCGAATGATCCAATGGAGTACTTTTTCTGCAGGGATCCTATTGACTGCACTCAGAGAAATATCATTAAGTAAATATCCACAAGCATAAATGTTGGAAAAAAAATGTTTCATATGTCCCATTATTTTTTTTTATCACCGATGACGTGATTATAGGTTCGATTATTTGGTTCGGGGGAATTGCTTCCGTAGAGAAACATGGAATGGAATAATATTCCATGATACTAGTGAACAAAACAAATGCTTTATACTCAATTCAGAAAGTATAGTGAACAAAATATGTGATTCTGCACCATATCTAGAGTGTGTTTGTTTATAAAATAATTCTATTCGTACTCAAAATCTAACTCAACTTTAATTCAACTACACTATCCTCAGTATTATTAATATAACTAAATAATAAAATCGATCGAATTTACACATAGCATTATCTTTAATTTACTATTCATCCACGCACATAATTTTAACTAACTATCACTTTCACATAGGCTCTCTCCTACTTTTACATCTCCTATACTTTTACATCAAATGAACTTTAATTATTTTGTTTTAAATATTATTTTTATATAAAATAAAATTCCACTAACAACTAACCATACACCATTATTCAAAACTAATTCTGGTTAACAAAAAAAACTTGTTTTGAGCGGATAATGTCATCTTGTTAAGTAGGATTATTCACAGAAATTACGAAATTCGAACAGTTTTACTCACAATTTGCTGTAAGGATGTTGCGAAAACTGCCACACAAGCACAAAGAAACCCTTTGGCATTCACTTTGACATCGGTCACAGTGCAAACGCCAACTCCTATAACCACAACCACGACAGATATTTTAACTTCGTTCGAGTATTTCTTATTGTGAAGGATCCATTCCATAATGCACACCACAGGAATCATGCTCAGCTTTGAGATCTACACCAAAATAAACCAACAATCTGATTATTCCAAAAATATTTGAAATACAATAAATTGTACTGAACTAGATGAAATAAAACCACACGCAGTAGACGAGTTTTGATTAAAAGCTGCTACGTGTCTGTTTTTAGATCATGATATGAACAATAGTACGGTTTAGATCCTAAAAGACAAAACATTACTCGGGTTTTCCTATCATGTTGTGACACTAAAAGCTGAAGAATATTTCACAGCTCAGAAATAAATGGAACTTTCCATAATTAGATTCTTAGAAAGCTCGCACAAGTAACAGTGTAAAGGATCATTTATTGAAAGCCACTATCCACCAAAGCAAATAAGTAGAGCTTTTATTGATAATCATACTTGGTAAAATCCGACTGAGTTGAGCATAAGACTCAGATTCATCCCTGTGATCGACAGATTTGCTACAATGGAGAACCAGAGAAGTTCCCAAAAAGGCACGTACTTCGATGCAGACAAGCCCGTTGCATTTGATATCATACCAACAAGTGCAGTAACACCAAAGTGAAAACCAGTCAATGTTGTTGCTGCACAGAACATAAGCAGAAATAGAAACTACGGTTATAAAATTAAAGTGCAATTATATTAGATGACTAAAATTGAGGGACTTCGACAGATACTCATTGTAATATACTAGATGTTGTGGTAGTTAGAAAGGTCACTGTTTATTGGAAGTGCCCAAAGAAGGCACAAACAAAAAGCTTCTAATTACCATATACGCAATACAGTAATGCTCCTCACCGACCGCTTATGTGGCATCCGCACTTTGGTGATGTATTTTTTTGAACATATTAACATCACCAATGTGTGCATGCCACATAAGCGGTGGACATATTAACAAGTGCCCATCGTGGGCACGTGAGCATTACTCATACGCAATAAGCATACAATTTGTGAAAGTGTCGACCTTTATCCCTTGCCCAAATCCATAGAGCATCAGTATTGTATTCGGCAAATGATCCCAATTCAGTGAAGCTAAAGGAAAAGGGTTGCCCCCATAATAGAAGCTAAACTAAACCCCGCAATGATAAAATACTAAAACAAGTCTTGCAATTGAACATAAACGCGAAAAATGGAGACCAAAAAAAAAGGATCTAAGAACATAAGTAACACACAAACAGAACACTGATGAGACAACCCGAGTGATAGGGGGACTCACCAAAGGTGAAAGCGTAACCGTTGGATGACATCAGCTGCTTGTTCGCCATGATGATCCCGACGGAGCTGACGACATTCATGGCCCACGCGCCCACATCGGACACCGCCGACGCCGGCGATTTCTTCTCCCCCTCCATTCCCGATTCCTTATACCTCCCTCCCTACCTCGCTCGCCACAAACCCACTCGCAAAATCGCCTTTTTTTTCACCGGCCGACGATCAACAGATCTCCCACGGACGCCGCCGGCTCGCGCTGCGCGAAAGAAAAAAGAGAGAAAATGGGGTCACGCACACTCGGGGCGGACCGCAAGACCGGGGATTCGGGCGGCGAATGGCGGTGCCGACGATGAGATATATATACAGGTTAACTGTAGGTATCAACAACGGAATATAGCTGTGACTTTTTGTTTTCTTCTTCTTCTTTAATGGAGGAAAAAAAGCAGATCTTGATTGTTTGATTGTGGGGAGAGAGTGTGTATGTGGGACTGTGGGTAGCGGTGAATAGAGAATAATTTCTCTGAATTTATGTAAATTGAGAGAGAGAGGAATAAAATTAATAAAATAGTAATAAAAATCGTCACACCCTTCTTTAAAAAAAAAAAAAAAAACAACAACAACAACATCACTTGGCTCATGTGGTAAGCAGTTTGATGTCGCTTAAAGAAAATCTCAGATTCAAATCCTTGTAGATACAGAAAAATATTCCAACATCTCAGATTCAAATCCTTGTAGATACAGAAAAACCTTGTTGGAAGACCAAAAAATTTTATTTTAAGATAATTCGATGGAATGTTATCATTTGTGATTTTTGAAACTTTTTAATTTTTAAAAATTTTGGTGTCTTAAACGTGATTTTTTTTTTATGTTATTTATTTAAGATTGACAATGTTATTCAATTTTTTAAAAAGTTTTTATAAAGTAATGAAATATTAAATTTATTTACCACTGAGATTTGTTTGGATTTTTTAAAATTTGATGAAATTGTGTGTAATCCTAACTAAATTTCTACCTATATTCTTAGGGGTATATTCATTTGAAATTTTCTTCTAAAAATATTTTAAAGCTACATAAATATTGTTGTATTTAATTTAGACTTTCTAAAACTTTTAAAGGTATTGGGGTATTCATCTGTGATTCTGAAAGGCCTTAGGAAATTTTGAGATATTCAACTAATTTGAGTCTATGTTTTGTTAAGACTTTTTAAAATTTGTCGAGATTTAAAAAAAAATAAAAAATGAAAATCTCACTCCAAATTCAACATTCAAACTTAAGATTTCAAAAAATTCCTTCCAAATCCAAAAATCTTAAAATGTCTCAAAATATCACTCAAAATCTGAAATAAAAACACCCCTTTGAAATTTATAACGACTTTAGTCATTTTTTTTTCTTGTAAGAACAAACGGGATTTAAAAGTTTTAATATCACCCAAAAAGTCAAACAAATTACAGTCCTTTATATATTAGGTTTAAATTCAAAGTGTGGGAGTAATACTACTTTGACATAATTTTTTGACATAGTAATTAATATTACCTAATGCTTAAGTTTAGGAATCGTTGATTTTAAAATTGATGTCATGTGTAAATCTATAATATCTTATCAGGTGTGTGTCAATTATTATGTTATTGTAATATAATGTGTATCCCATAGAATTTCGTAGTGGTGTAGACCTTTTTTTTTAATTATCTCAATTTTATGAAGAATTGAATTTCATTGTGTTTTCTAATAGCCAAACCGAATTTTATGTGATTTTATTATATTATAAATTCGTGTGGGTTTTGTACTTTTAGTTTTAGGTTTGACTGGTTCTTGATTTACATAATAAATTCTACTCATGTTTTAGAAGGTTTCATGTAAAGTTCTACTTTTGTGTAATCTTTGATTATATCAAATCTGAATGGCTTTTAATACTCTATGACTATTGAATTTGAATGGCATTTTAATAGGTTGCTGACTGTTTTCTTCATGAATTAAGAGTGTTCCCAATTATAATGAATTTCATAGAATTCCATAATATGAACTTAGTAATCTTTTTCCACTAATGCAAGTGCTTTAAATTAAACCTATTAAAAAAAAAAAAACTATTAATGAGAACTTGTCCCATATTGGCTCCATGTTTGCATCTTTTGAAAAAAAAAAATGGAAATAGATGAATATTTTTTTTTCACAATTTAAGTCTAATATGGCATGCAATGAATAACAAAGAAGATTCGCTGAGTATAAGCTGAAAGATGAGCCGTTCATAAACACACTCGTGCATGTGTGTGTTAATCTAACAACTCAAACTCTGATGTGAATAGTGTCCACATTAATCGGATATTTTTTTTTTTTCAAATCAAATAACGTTCTGTCATTTTCAAACACAACTCCAAAAGAACATGTGTATAAACCGTCAGATAGACAATTCATAAACACACTCGTGTAGGTGTGTGTTGATCTAACGACTCAAACCCTGATATGGATAGTGCTTACACCAATCGGATAATTTTTTTTTCAAATCAAATAACGTTCTTCTATCATTTTCAAACACAGTTCCGAGAGAACATGGGCACACCGAAACATAATTCAAGAAACTCAATAAAAAACAATTGCCATCAATCATCAAAAGCAGGTGTGAATGAACCAAATTTCAAACACAACTTTTGTGGTATCATTACACATGATTCTTACACACCTTTGATGTTTGTTGTAACAAGTGATGTACACTTTGTAGATTTGAATTAATAGTTGGTCCTAATAAACACCTTAATTAGTAAATCAAAAGGTTAGTTAGTTAGCTTTTCTTGCCTGGACTGCTAAGAACTTTGTGCGCGCGACACGCTCATTTCCTCTTGCTTGTCTGCGGGCGGGTTTTGGTCTCTCCATAGAAAAATGTGGTTATGAAGTAAGGGCGACACGCCCATATCACGATCCACATAAGGAGTGGTGCAAATACATGATCGGAGGAGCCTCGTAGTTTCTGAGGCTACCTTCTTGTTAAACTTTTCGAAACGAAGTGAAGTCATAGAAGCTTCGTTTGTAGAGTCTCATTGTTTGATCATATATTTCCTTTATTGGTATCATTTTCGGGGCTGTCAGTTGTAGATACAGTTTTTATATTCTGTGTCTTGAAAGGTATATTAGTTGAAAAATATGACACATAATGATAAGTAGTAATGGTGCTTTATAGCACTTCAACAAAACAAAAAATGAACAGTGGGGCGGATTTTTTTAAGGGAAAAATGAAATATGGTCATTTTTTGTAAAACAATGAAATCTAGCAATTTTAGGACTTAAAAGTACAATTGTACCCTTACTTATGATTTACCTACCAAAGATATTAAAAAAAAAAAAGATTTCTGAAAAGTGAAAAAAAGCGGACCGACCATTCTCTTCCTCCTCTCTTCCTTCTCTCTTCCTTTCCTCCTCCTACGTTCGCGTCCTTCTGTAAAAAAAAATCTCATCTTCCCAAAATTCACGTAAGTGAATCATCTCGACCAAAAATCATCTCCAACACCATCAAGTAAATCCCTTTTTGAGAAGAAAAAAGGTACTTTGACCTAAACCTAATTTTTTTTATTATGTTCAATAAAAAAAAAATCGAGAAAGATTTATTATTTTTGTTCCCAACATTATTGATTTGTGTTGCACCATTTTATTTTGTTGAAATAATATTTATTTAGAGTTAAAAAAACTCATTTTTTGTGCTTGAAAAGGAGGGGTCGTGTGTTAGAGTTCATTACTTTTGTTGTACAGTTTCTTGAGCCGTTTATTTGGAGTTTTAGGAGTTGAAAAATCACTTATTGAAGAATAAAAAAATTATTGAACAAAAAACGGTTTCTTGAACAAGAAAGAACAAGAAACAATTTCTTCATGTTCAACACGCAGTTTCTTGAGCAAGAAACCTGTTTGATGCTCAAGAAACAGGTTTCTTGCTCACGAAAGTTTCTTAACTAAGAAACGGGTTTCTTGAGCAAGAAACATGTTTCTTGAACAAGAAACCAGTTTAATGCTCAAGAAACTCGTTCTTGAGGAAGAAACAGGTTTCGTGAACATCAAACGGGTTTTTTGAACAAGATGTAACATGTTTCTTGCTCAATTAATTTTGCTCGTAAGAAACTGTTTATGAATTTTTTATTAATATATTTTTTAATTTATTTAATTTTTTCAGATGGACGTTGGTAAAGTGCGAATTGTTCACAGTGGTCTTTGGGATGGGAATGTGTACAAAAATGGTGAGACAGAAATGAATTTTTTATGTCTTAGGACCTAATCATACGAAGCTTTCATGAATAGAGTTCATGACATTGTCCGTGGAGATAGAAACATGTGCGACTATCGATTTCACTTTTTAGTGGCTGGTGATAACAGAGAGGTGGAGAAATGGCGTATCTCTTGTGAATCAGATATGCGAAATGTGTCTGCCATGTTCACAATACCTACCATCTATGTCACATTACAGCCGAAACATAGTCCATGTCTGTATACTCAGGCGAGTGTACCAACGTACCCTTCGTATGGCTATCCAGGTGGGTCTATGAATTTATTTGCCGCTCAGGGCCCACCTCTCTATCCATATGGTGCTGTGTATCCACCTATAATGAGTCAACCATCAACATCTCATCCGGCGAACAATGACAACCTGGTGCCTGACACCTCTAGAAGGGTAGAATCAAATCAACCCGGTGCCTCACGACATTCTCCCGAGCATATCGATTGGGGTGTGGATAGCGGGTCCAATGGGTATTCAACTGGGAATGATGAAAGTGATGATGAAGATGATGATGATGAAGGAGGTGATGATGAAGTTGATGATAACGAACAATTTTGTGATGCTTACAATAATGAGACGAACATGAACAATAATCCTTGCAATGATGATCTCGTAAATGAGATGGATGATAACATTGATGATTCGGACTTCATAATTGAAGAAGATGATATGCTTGTCTCGGAAGAAGGTGAAGATGGCGACGACAATGTTGTGTCCCCCATCAAACATGATAGGCGGTTTAAATGAGCATATTCTACGCAACAAGAAGAGTATAATGATCCACAACGTTCCTCGGCTTGACCTTTCTGGAGGGGTTGCTATTGAAGAGGACGATTTGAATGAAAGCGCTACTCGTTCGAGTAGCGGTTGGAGGATTCCCGAAGCCAT